CTAGTTTATGTCTAGTTCTGTTCTAGTTCTCTGTTCTAGTTCGGCTGTTCTCGGGTTTCTAGTTCAGGTCTATTCGGTTGCTAGTTCCTGTTCTAAAGCTTCTGTTCTAAGTTCTGTTTCTAGTGTCATGTTAGTTCTGTTCTAGTTCTGTTCTAGTTGCTGTTCTAGTTCTGTTCTAGTCTTCGTTCTAGCTCTGTTCTAGTTCTGTTCTAGTTAGTTCTGTTCTAGTTCTGTTCTAGTTCTGTTCTAGTTCTGTTCTAGTTCTGTTCTAGTTCTAAGTTCTGTTCTAGTTCTTTTCTAGTTCTGTTCTAGTTCTGTTCTAGTTCTGTTCTAGTTCTGTTCTAGTTCTGTTCTAGTTCTGTTCTAGTTCTGTTCTAGTTTTTTCTAGTTCTGTTCTAGTTCTGTTCTAGTTCTGTTCTAGTTCTGTTCTAGTTCTGTTCTAGTTCTGTTTATTCTGTCTAGTTCTGTTCTAGCTCTGTTCTAGTTCTGTTCTAGTTCTGTTCTAGTTCTGTTCTAGTTCTGTTATACTTCTGTTCTAGTTCTGTTCTAGTTCTGTTCTAGTTCTGTTCTAGTTCTGTTCTAGTTCTGTTCTAGTTCTGTTCTAGTTCTGTTCTAGTTCAGTTCTGTTCTAGTTCTGTTCTAGTTCTGTCTAGTTCTGTTCTAGTTCTGTTCTAGTTCTGTTCTAGTTCTGTTCTAGTTCTGTTCTAGTTCTGTTCTAGTTTCTTTCTAGTTCTGTTTCTAGTTCTGTTCTAGTTCTGTTCTAGTTCTGTTCTAGTTCTGTTCTAGTTCTGTTCTAGTTCTGTTCTAGTTCTGTTCTAGTTCTGTTCTAGTTCTGTTCTAGTTCTGTTCTAGTTTCTGTTTAGTTCTGTTCTACGTTCTGTTATACTTCTGTTCTAGTTCTGTTCTAGTTCTGTTCTAGTTCTAGTACTGTTATAGTTCTGTTCTAGTTCTGTTCTAGTTCTGTTCTAGTTCTGTTCTAGCTCTGTTCTAGTTCTGTTCTAGTTCTGTTCTAGTTCTGTTCTAGTATGTTCTAGTTAGTTCTAGTTCTGTTCTAGTTCTGTTCTAGTTCTGTTCTGTTCTAGTTCTGTTCTAGTTCTGTTCTAGTTCTGTTCTAGTTCTGTTCTAGTTCTGTTCTAGTTTGTTCTAGTTCTATTCTAGTTCTGTTCTAGTTCTGTTCTGTTCTAGTTCTGTTCTAGTTCTGTTCTAGTTCTGTTCTAGTTCTGTTCTAGTTCTGTTCTAGTTCTGTTCTAGTTCTGTTCTAGTTCTGTTCTAGTTCTGTTTAGTTCTGTTCTAGTTCTGTTCTAGTTCTGTTCTAGTTCTGTTCTAGTTCTGTTTCTCGTTCTGTTCTAGTTCTGTTCTAGTTCTGTTCTAGTTCTGTTCTAGTTCTGTTCTAGTTCTGTTCTAGTTCTGTTTCTAGTTCTGTTCTAGTTTGTTCTAGTTCTGTTCTAGTTCTGTTCTAGTTCTGTTCTAGTTCTGTTCTAGTTCTGTTCTAGTTCTGTTCTAGTTTCTTCTAGTTCTGTTCTAGTTCTGTTCTAGTTCTGTTCTAGTTTGTTCTAGTTCTGTTCTAGTTCTGTTAGTTCTGTTCTAGTTCTGTTTAGTTCTGTTCTAGTTCTGTTCTAGTTCTGTTCTAGTTCTGTTCTAGTTCTGTTCTAGTTCTGTTCTAGTTGTTCTAGTTCTGTTCTAGTTTTGTTCTAGTTCTGTTCTAGTTCTGTTCTAGTTCTGTTCTAGTTCAGTTCTAGTTCAGTTCTAGTTCAGTTCTAGTTCTGTTCTAGTTCTGTTCTAGTTCTGTTCTAGTTCTGTTCTAGTTCTGTTCTAGTTCTGTTCTAGTTCTGTTCTAGTTCTGTTCTAGTTCTGTTCTAGTTCTGTTTAGTTTGTTCTAGTTCTGTTCTAGTTCTGTTTAGTTCTGTTCTGTTCTAGTTCTGTTCTAGTTCCGTTCTAGTTCCGTTATAGTTCTGTTCTCAGTTCTGTTCTAGTTCTGTTCTAGTTCAGTTCTAGTTCAGTTCTAGTTCTGTTCTAGTTCTGTTCTAGTTCTATTCTAGTTCTGTTTTTGTTCTGTTCTAGTTCTGTTCTAGTTCTGTTCTAGTTCTGTTCTAGTTTCGTTCTGTTCTAGTTCTGTTCTAGTTCTTTCTAGTTCTGTTTCTAGTTCTGTTCTAGTTCTGTTCTAGTTTGTCTAGTTTGTTAGTTCTGTCTAGTTCTGTTCTAGTGATGTTTCTGTCTAGTTTCTGTTATAGTTCTGTTCTAGTAGTTCTGCTGTTCTAGTTCTGTTCTAGTTCTGTTCTAGTTCTGTTCTAGTTCTGTTCTAGTTCTGTTCTAGTTCTGTCTAGTTCTGTTCTAGTTCTGTTCTAGTTCTGTTCTAGTTCTGTTCTAGTTCTGTTCTAGTTCTGTTCTAGTCTGTCTAGTTCTGTTCTAGTTCTGTTCTAGTTCTGTTCTAGTTCTGTTCTAGTTCTGTTCTAGTTCTGTTCTAGTTTCTGTTCTAGTTCTGTTTCTAGTTCTGTTCTAGTTCTGTTCTAGTTCTAGTTCTGTTCTAGTTCTGTTCTAGTTCTGTTCTAGTTCTGTTCTAGTTCTGTTCTAGTTCTGTTCTAGTTCTGTTCTAGTTCTAGTTCTGTTCTAGTTCTAGTTCTGTTCTAGTTCTGTTCTAGTTCGTTCTAGTTCTGTTCTAGTTCTGTTTAGTTCTGTTCTAGTTCTGTTTCTAGTTCTGTTCTAGTTCTGTTCTAGTTCTGTTCTAGTTCTGTTCTAGTTCTGTTCTAGTTCTGTTCTAGTTCTGTTCTAGTTCTGTTCTAGTTCTGTTCTAGTTCTGTTCTAGTCTGTTCTAGTCTGTTCTAGTTCTGTTCTAGTTCTGTTCTAGTTCTGTTCTAGTTTCTGTTCTAGTTCTGTTCTAGTTCTGTTCTAGTTCTGTTCTAGTTCTGTTCTAGTTCTGTTCTAGTTCTGTTCTAGTTCTTTCCGGTTCTGTTCTAGTTCTGTTCTAGTTCTGTTCTAGTTCTGTTCTAGTTCTGTTCTAGTTCTGTTCTAGTTTTGTACTGTTCTGTTCTAGTTCTGTTCTGTTCTAGTTCTGTTCTGTTCTGTTCTGTTCTAGTTTGTTCTAGTTCTGTTTTAAACAGTCTAAAATTTTGTGTTTAGGAAAGTTTGCTTTATTATTTAACTGTTATGTAGCCATTATAAACATATAATTCAACATTAATAAAGATTTAACATTTCAATTTTAGTTCCATCTGAAACTTGTTCATATAATATTACAAGAAAAATATGTTAAATTCCCTAAAATACAAATAAACGTAAATGTTTTATTTATTTGTTATTTTAGAGCTGAGAATAAACTCAGCAGTTAACAAAAAAGAAAAATAAACGAAATATTTCAAATTTCAATATAAAACCTTAAAATGTTATAAAACTGAACAGGTAGAGGCATGAGAATGAAATAGCCTGGGAAATTAGACAACTGGTTATACAGTTATATTCACTAACATACATACATATATGCAAGTGGAATTTCCAATGAAAATAAACCGCATTATATAGTAGATAGGCTCGAAATTTGAAGTGAGAAGAAATCAAGTTTGTGGAAATCCTTACGAAATATTTTTTTTGGGGAAAGCTCAAAACTTAGTTAGATTGTAAATAACTTTGTAAATCACAATTTTTCTTGATTTTTAGATTCGTAAGCCAGCCTATTACTTATACTGTTTTGAAAATGTTTAGCATATGCTTAGGCACAATAACCTGTTGCATATTAGCAGGCTGTAGAAAAGCTTTATACGTTTTTCCCTTTAATGCTTTTAGGCTTTGAAAACTTGTTTTATGCCAACTATTAAGAGAAATTAATATAGATATCATTACCAGTGTAGGGTATTTGCTGAGTATGAAGTAGTATAATGGGAAAAAAAAGAAACGTTAAACTGAATTAATGTTAATGATATCACATACAGACAGATAATGCCATAACATTTAAACGTTTGCAATTTAATGTTAGATAATAAGTATTTAATGCAATAAACAACACGTTTACAGTGTATTTAATATAACGGGCCTATAACGAGGTTGTTTGGGAAAGTTTAAGGCAAAGGTTAAAGGTTACATTAAGCAAAGCCTAAAAATATGCAACATTTTTTGCAATTACTATAACGAGGTTTTGCAGCAAGTTGTATGTAATAGGACAATGACTAATAAGGGTTTCTGTAGTTCCCACTTGGTTCTAATGTTTCCACTCGTGGGAAGGAAAACCCTTGAGTAGGAAGATTGATCTTGTTTGAAGAAAACTAAGTTTACCAAGTTCTTTGTGAAAAAATATTGAAACAATGACATATAACTGAATCCTTTAGAAACAACCCTCCTCGTTCAACAAACTGGCATTAATAAATAATGTTGTTGTCGAGAAAAAAAGACTGAAAATTCGGTTAAATTAGCATAATTTTGTTGTAAAAATTACCCAGAATTGGAAATGATACATTTATAAATACTCTGAACAAATATACAAAGTTAGGCAAATACCCGTACCCCTATCAATCATACACATACAGGTAAAGCTATCCCAGCAAACACAAATCAACAAAATAGTTTACAACAAACAAATTATAACATGTCTGATCTAACTGATACCAAACATTTAATATTTCTCTAAAATTTCATACTTGTTATCAAATCGAAATGTCTGTTGGGTTATTACCAAACATGTAATCTCATATGTATGTATTTTTTTTCGTGTAACAAAAACACATGTAATTCATTACTAATATTGCCTGTTATTTTAATGACAGCGTAATTTGAAGGTATTTTTAATTTAATCTGAATACTTAGTTAAATACTTTAGACAAGTGAAAAAAAAACACATGAGCTTAAAACATTTACCAAATCATTAATATTAATTATTTTCTGTGAAAATTATTTATAAACATATTATATTACATGTACGGTAATTGTATCGTTTATTTAATGATTTTGTTTTAAAGACAATTTATTTTTAAAAAGAGAAAAATTATGTAAAATTAAATTAATACTCAACTTACCTTGAGTCAATGCGTTGCAGAAAAATCTAAACGATTTAAATGTAATTCCCTTAAATGGAATAGATTTAAAAAGCCCACCGCTGGTAAATAGGTAAAACGATTACCGCTTAAGGTTAAATGTGTTAGATTTGATAATTTGGAGAGTTGTAGAGTAGGCACCATCTGAAAGGAGAGAGAAAATGGGATTAATAAGTAAAATTTAAAATTAAAATTGGAATGAAATTAAAGAACTAGAACAGAACTAAAAACGAACTGGAACAGAACTAGAACAGAACTAGCACAGAACTAGAACTGAATTAGAACAGAACTAGAACAGAACTAGAACAGAACTAAAAAAGAACTAGAACAGAACTAGAACGAACTAGAACAGAACTAGAACAGAACTAGAACAGAACTAGAACAGAACTAGAACAGAACTAGAACAGAACTAGAACAGAACTAGAACAGAACTAGAACAGAACTAGAACAGAACTAGAACAGAACTAGAACAGAACTAGAACAGAACTAGAACAGAACTAGAACCGAACTACAACAGAACTACAACAGAACTACAACAGAACTAGAACAGAACTAGAACAGAACTAGAACAGAACTAGAACAGAACTAGAACAGAACTAGAACAGAACTAGAACAGAACTAGAACAGAACTAGAACAGAACTAGAACAGAACTAGAACAGAACTAAACAGAACTAGAACAAACTAGAAGAACTAGAACAGAACTAGAACAGAACTAGAACAGAACTAGAACAGAACTAGAACAGAACTAGAACAGAACTAGAACAGAACTAGAACAGAACTAGAACAGAACTAGAACAGAACTAAACAGAACTAGAACAGAACTAGAACAGAACTAGAACAGAACTAGAACAGAACTAGAACAGAACTAGAACGAACTACAACAGAACTAGAACAGAACTACAACAGAACTAGAACAAACTAGAACAGAACTAGAACAGAACTAGAACAGAACTAGAACAGAACTAGAACAGAACTAGAACAGAACTAGAACAGAACTAGAACAGAACTAGAACAGAACTAGAACAGAACTAGAACAGAACTAGAACAGAACTAGAACAGAACTAGAACAGAACTAGAACAGAACTAGAACAGAACTAGAACAGAACTAGAACAGAACTAGAACAGAACTAGAACAGAACTAGAACAGAACTAGAACAGAACTAGAACAGAACTAGAACAGAACTAGAACAGAACTAGAACAGAACTAGAACAGAACTAGAACAAACTAGAACAGAACTAGAACAGAACTAGAACAGAACTAGAACAGAACTAGAACAGAACTAGAACAGAACTAGAACAGAACTAGAACAGAACTAGAACAGAACTAGAACAGAACTAGAACAGAACTAGAACAGAACTAGAACAGAACTAGAACAGAACTAGAACAGAACTAGAACAGAACTAGAACAGAACTAGAACAGAACTAGAACAGAACAGAACTAGAACAGAACTAGAACAGAACTAGAACAGAACTAGAACAGAACTAGAACAGAACTAGAACAGAACTAGAACAGAACTAGAACAGAACTAGAACAGAACTAGAACAGAACTAGAACAGAACTAGAACAGAACTAGAACAGAACTAGAACAGAACTAGAACAGAACTAGAACAGAACTAGAACAGAACTAGAACAGAACTAGAACAGAACTAGAACAGAACTAGAACAGAACTAGAACAGAACTAGAACAGAACTAGAACAGAACTAGAACAGAACTAGAACAGAACTAGAACAGAACTAGAACAGAACTAGAACAGAACTAGAACAGAACTAGAACAGAACTAGAACAGAACTAGAACAGAACTAGAACAGAACTAGAACAGAACTAGAACAGAACTAGAACAGAACTAGAACAGAACTAGAGAAAGAACAGAACAGAACAGAACTAGAACAGAACTAGAACTAGAACTAGAACTAGAACAGAACAGAACTAGAACAGAACTAACTAGAACAGAACTAGAACGGAACTAGAACGGAACTAGAACAGAACTAGAACAAACTAAAAAGAACTAGAACAGAACTAGAGCAGAACTAGAACAGAACTAGAACCGAACTAGAACTAGAACAGAACTAGAACCGAACTAGAACTAGAACAGAAATAGAACTAGAACAGAACTAAAAGAACTAGAAAAGAACTAGAAACTAGAACTGAACTAGAACACAACAGAACTATAATTGAAATTTAATTTAAACAAATTTTTAATATAATGTCTGTTAATATTAATTTGCTTTAGGGGTTTTGAGATTTTTATTAAAATTCAAGTTCAAGTTTAAAGTTTTTTTTTCTGTAAATAAATAAGTATATGTGTACGTTAACTGAAATCCTGTGATATTTTTATTTTTTGCTCAAGCCAAATGTTATTTTCACAGCTAGACTAGCTGCAGCAAAAACAACAACGAAACAACATAATTCTTATTATTGCCACTTTTTCATGTGGCATTATTCAGAGGCACGTATTGTTTATAACGTTATCGCGATCTAGTGGCACGTTTTTAAGCTACAATTTTTTTCTAGAGGTTTAATTTTTTTGATAGCAGTTTTTTACATTTGGCTCTAAATCAGGTTATATTTTGGTAGGATTTATTTTTGTTAAAAAACAAAACAAACAAAAAGCTCTCTCAGGTGGCTGTTTTGGCAGAGTGTTAAAGACACAGTCAGTCCAATAACCAGCTAGACCAACAATGGAAACAAGGCGAAAGTAAGTTGTTTTTTGTTGACTCAGTCACAGTTATAAAGTGAAATGGCTAAACATTTTTATACACTTTTTTTAGCTTAAAGAAGAGGGTGATATTTTATTTGGTTGTGTTATAACAAATTTGTTGGATTTTTTTTTTGCTTTTTTTAGAGGGGTAGAGAGTTAAAAGATTGATTTTATTACCCTGCTTTAAACTCCAACTACTGCATATTGCTGCCAATAGAAAGGAAACTGAAAACTACTTTCTGTATTGTTCTAGTGGCTGGGTTATGGTCAGTAATACTCCTACACATTAATATAAACGAATTTATTTTTGTTTGTAGCACAAATTTGTTTGAGTTTGGGGAAAATATGAAGCAAAAAAAAATCTTTATAAAAATATTGCTGCAGAGTTTAGTTGTTGTTAAAAGGAAACACTGAACATACGTTTCCGTTTCCTTTCTAGATTTTTTTCATATTTAGAGCAACATTTTTAAGAGGGAGCAAATTTCATTCATTTTTTTTATCCTTCAGTAGTAAAATATTATTATACATTTATACTTTCATAGCACAAACTGTATGTATTTGTTTTAAAATTGAAGCTTTAGTTGCTGAAATTCCTTTTCTACACAAATATTGTTTGTTCTCTGCAGTTGTTGTGTTTTTTTTTCCTTAAAACAATTTCATGTGGTGCTGTCGTAAAAAGGTCACGTATTTTTATATTTTTTCTTTAGCTTCTTTTTTTTTTTTTTTGGTAACTGACAAAATAATCAACAACAATGTTTTTTATTTGCCACATTGTTGTTAACATCATATTTTATTGTTTTTTATAGTTAAACTCATGATTTTTAAGGTTAAAATTTGTTGTTAAAATTTTTAATATTTTTTTTATTAGCAAACTAAAAAGGTTTAATTAACACAGAAATTTTATTGGTTTTAATTACTTTTTAAAGATAAAGTTCTAACTATAAAAGCAAAAAAGTGTTTTGTAATAAAGTTCAGTTATCATTCAGTTGTAGTTCTGTTCTAGTTCTGTTCTAGTTCTGTTCTAGTTCTGTTCTAGTTCTGTTCTAGTTCTAGTTCTATTCTAGTTCTGTTCTAGTTTTGTTCTAGTTCTGTTCTAGTTCTGTTCTAGTTCTGTTATAGTTCGGTTCTAGTTCTGTTCTAGTTCTGTTCTAGTTCTATTCTAGTTCTGTTCTAGTTCTGTTCTAGTTCTGTTCTAGTTCTGTTCTAGTTCTGTTCTAGTTCTGTTCTAGTTCTGTTCTAGTTCTGTTCTAGTTCTGTTCTAGTTCTGTTCTAGTTCTGTTCTAGTTCTGTTCTAGTTCTGTTCTAGTTCTGTTCTAGTTCTGTTCTAGTTCTGTTTTAGTTCTGTTCTAGTTCTGTTCTAGTTCTGTTCTAGTTCTGTTCTAGTTCTGTTCTAGTTCTGTTCTAGTTCTGTTCTAGTTCTGTTCTAGTTCTGTTCTAGTTCTGCTTTAGTTCTGTTTAGTTCTGTTCTAGTTCTAGTTGTCTAGTTCAGTTTTCTAGTTCTGTTCTAGTTCTGTTCTAGTTCTGTTCTAGTTCTGTTCTAGTTCTGTTCTAGTTCTGTTCTATTTCTGTTCTATTTCTATTCTAGTTCTGTTCTATTTCTATTCTAGTTCTGTTCTAGTTTTGTTCTAGTTCAGTTTTAGTTCAGTTCTATTTCTGTTCTAGTTCTGTTCTAGCTCTGTTCTAGTTCTGTTCTAGTTCTAGTTCTGTTCTGTTCTAGTACTGTTCTAGTTCTGTTCTAGTTCTGTTCTAGTTCTGTTCTAGTTCTGTTCTAGTTCTGTTCTAGTTCTGTTCTAGTTCTGTTCTAGTTCTGTTCTAGTTCTGTTCTAGTTCTGTTCTAGTTCTGTTCTAGTTCTGTTCTAGTTCTGTTCTAGTTCTGTTTTAGTTCTGTTTTAGTTCTGTTCTAGTTCTGTTCTAGTTCTGTTCTAGTTCTGTTCTAGTTCTGTTCTAGTTCTGTTCTATTTCTGTTCTATTTCTATTCTAGTTCTGTTCTATTTCTATTCTAGTTCTGTTCTAGTTCTGTTCTAGTTTTGTTCTAGTTCAGTTTTAGTTCAGTTCTATTTCTGTTCTATTTTACTTCTAGTACAGTTCAAGTTCATTATCTCATATTTCTATTTTCTTTTATTAATTTATCTTCCAAAAGTAAATTTATTTGTTTTATTTTAAGTATAACACTTATCTCAAATATGTAGTTTAAAACTCCTTAAAACTATTTTTTCTAACATTTTTAAAACTATAGTTTAAAATATTTTTTTAACTAAACTAAACATGCACTTAAATTTCTCCTTTTATATTTAACTTTATATAAAATTCCTGTTTGGCTAAATGTATTTGTATCTATTTGCCAAAAAATATAATATAGAAGAGAAAATATTCCAGGAAATTCAAAATATTTCATTTCGTAAGTTATTAAAATCCACAATCTAGGAAAAGAAAAACTAAACGGAAATACTTTTAACTCAACAAATAAAATACCAAAAATATCCTTTTTAATTCAACACACAGACAAACAATGGGATAGACGGATAAATTTCTTGAACAATAAACAGGTATTTTACTAAAACACATACTAACAAATTCTGGAATTGGGGAAAAGACAAATAGATACAAACATAAGCAAACATATGGTAGCGCTCAAACTTATGCAATGAAATTTTTCTTTTTCATACAAAAGTATGAAATAGTAAAGAATTTTTGAAAGATATTTTAAGTAGTTTCCTGTTAGAAAAATGTATGTGGTTTGGAAAACCAGGTCCTGTTTAAGTGTGTGAAGTGCTGTTTCTAGTTAAACATATTCCAAAGGCTGTATTAAAAATAAGTATATACGACTCTATACTGTGTTAACAATGACAATAAATTCTATACTCTTGTTTAAACAAAGTCCTGCATATTGTTTTAAGTATTTGGGTATGTGTGTGTCTGTGTTAATACAGGTCCTGCTGTTTTATAACCCATGTTTCTAAGAACCATATAAGCCAGAGAGCCATAATATGTTTTTGTGGTTCTTGCAGGGGGAAAAAGCAACAATAAAATTTCGAGACATATTTAAGCAAGTATTTTGTTAACAATTATATTTATAAAAGTGTATGTGTGGGGGTCTGTTGGGAAAAACTTAAAAATAGATAAAAATATTTTTACTTATTTGTTTTATTTCAAAAAATAGTTTGTTCCAGGAAATAACAATATTTTTAAAGTAACAATTTTAACACTTGAAAATATTTAGAAAATTGAAGCAAGTATTGAGGAGTTTTACAAGTGCAAAATCCTATATTTTCATTATCAAAGCATGCACTAGAAGAAAACTAGAACAAGTAGGGAAGTTTCAGTTGGTGAAACAAAAATAGAACTAGAACTGAAATAGAATTGAACTAGAACTGAACTAGAATTGAACTAGACCTGAACTAGAACTGAACTAGAACTGAACTAGAACTGAACTAGAACTGAACTAGAACTGAACTAGAACTGAACTAGAACTGAACTAGAACAGAACTAGAACTGAACTAGAAAAGAACTAGAACTGAACTAGAACTAAACTAGAACTGAACTAGAACTGAACTAGAACTGAACTAGAACTGAACTAGAACTGAACTAGAACTGAACTAGAACTGAACTAGAACTGAACTAGAACTGAACTAGAACTGAACTAGAACTGAACTAGAACTGAACTAGAACTGAACTAGAACTGAACTAGAATAGAACAAGAACTGAACTAGAACTGAACTAGAAAAGAACTAGAACTGAACTAGAACTGAACTAGAACTAGAACTGAACTAGAACTGAACTAGAACTGAACTAGAAAAGAACTAGAAAAGAACTAGAACTGAACTTGAACTAAACTAGAACTGAACTAGAACTGAACTAGAACTGAACTAGAACTGAACTAGAACTGAACTAGAAAAGAACTAGAACTGAACTAGAACTAAACTAGAACTGAACTAGAACTGAACTAGAACTGAACTTGAACTGAACTAGAACTGAACTAGAACTGAACTAGAACTGAACTAGAACTGAACTAGAACTGAACTAGAACTGAACTAGAACTGAACTAGAACTGAACTAGAACTGAACTAGAACTGAACTAGAACTAGAACTAAGAACTAGAACTGAACTAGAACTGAACTAGAACTAGAACTAGAACTAGAACTAGAACTAGAACTGAACTAGAACTGAACTAGAACTGAACTAGAACTGAACTAGAACTGAACTAGAACTGAACTAGAACTGAACTAGAACTGAACTAGAACTGAACTAGAACTGAACTAGAACTGAACTAGAACTGAACTAGAACTGAACTAGAACTGAACTAGAACTGAACTAGAACTGAACTAGAACATGAACTAGAACTGAACTAGAACTGAACTAGAACTGAACTAGAACTGAACTAGAACTGAACTAGAACAGAACTAGAACTGAACTAGAACATGAACTAGAACTGAACTAGAACATGAACTAGAACTGAACTAGAACTGAACTAGAACTGAACTAGAACTGAACTAGAACTGAACTAGAACTGAACAGAACTGAACTAGAACTGAACTAGAACTAGAACTAGAACTGAACTAGAACTGAACTAGAACTGAACTAGAACTAGAACTGAAGAACTGAACTAGAACTGAACTAGAAAGAACTAGAACTGAATTAGAACTGAACTATAACTGAACTAGAACTGAACTAGAACTGAACTAGAACTAGAACTGAACTAGAACTGAACTAGAACTGAACTAGAACTGAACTAGAACTGAACTAGAACTGAACTAGAACTGAACTAGAACTGAACTAGAACTGAACTAGAACTGAACTAGAACTGAACTAGAACTGAACTAGAACTGAACTAGAACTGAACTAGAACTGAACTAGAACTGAACTAGAACTGAACTAGAACTGAACTAGAACTGAACTAGAACTGAACTAGAACTGAACTAGAACTGAACTAGAACTGAACTAGAACTGAACTAGAACTGAACTAGAACTGAACTAGAACTGAACTAAGAACTGAACTAGAACTGAACTAGAACTGAACTAGAACTGAACTAGAACTGAACTGAACTAGAACTGAACTAGAACTGAACTAGAACTGAACTAGAACTGAACTAGAACTGAACTAGAACTGAACTAGAACTGAACTAGAACTGAACTAGAACAGAACTAGAATTGAACTAGAACTGAACTAGAACTGAACTAGAACTGAACTAGAACAGAACTAGAACAGAACTAGAACTGAAGTAGAACTGAACTATTTGATGTTTTTAACATAAAGTTTTATCCTTTTCACATCCTTATTTGCTCTTATAAAAATTATGTTTTTTTGTGAGTAAAATATTGTGCATGTTTAGGAATGCATATTGTAATGGCTTTAAAACTATTATCTTTACAACTGTCTGCTACAATTCCCAGGCACTTATGTTGGGAATAGTTTTTTTGTGGCTAATTTCTGTTTTGCTATGGTAGTTACGTGCAACAACATTGGTGTGCTTTTAAAGCTTGAAATGATGTGAGGTTTCTGGGGGTAAAATATTTAAAGTAAAAGGAAGTTTGAAGAGATCGGTAACAATTATATAAGGTTTTATTAAGGAAAAATAAAGAGATCATTTAATTAGTAAACTGTTAAATATGTGTTAAAAGTTTAAACAGCCTTAGTTTATGCTTTAGATATAGTTAAGCCTAAAACTAGGCTTTATATTTAGTTAACTTACCGTTAAATTGTTAACTGCCAAATCCATATGTTTCAGCGTTATTAAACCCTCAAAAGCACTTAAATCCAATTCACTGATAACATTTCCTCTTACTGTCAAAGTCACCAGTTCCCTCAGACCCTCAAAACTATCATTGCGCACATATTCCACTAGATTATCAGATAAATCCAATGATTTTAAAGAATGCAAATGTTGCAAATTATTGGCGGGCACATCCAGCAGTTGATTATTTTTAAAAATTAAAATTTCCAAAGACATTAAATTACGAAATGTATTATCCTCCAAACTAACAATATTATTATTGGTCAAATCCAATTCTATCAGTGAGGATAAATCATACATGGCCGAAGGATGCACCATATCAATGCGATTGGAACTCAGATCCAACACTAGTAAATTGGTTAAACCTTTAAAGGCATCCTTTTGCAGAGAACTCACCAAATTATGACTCAAATTTAAGGTTCTCATTTCAGTTTGATATTCGAAATTTTTCGAACCCAATGTCTCGATAATGTTACGCGATAAATCCAATATTTCCAATTTCATATAGAAGGGTAAAGTAAATTCTATATTGCGTATTTTATTTAAAGTTAAATTAATATATTTGGTCTCTGGATTCAATTGTATTGGCACATCTTCTAATGCAGCATCGACACAATACGCTTTCGTATTGGCATCACTGCCCAAACACTGACACTTGGAGGGACAAAAGGGCCTGGGTATATTGTGTGTGATAGCTGAGCAGGATTAATAGTAATGAGCTTAAATGTAGCCAAGGTATACTTCTACTGCTACTACTACTACTACAGCTTAAGGATGTTAAACGCCATCTTACATGGGTAATTCTGTGTAAATGTTTCATTTTTCTATACAGTGACATGGTGTTTATGGAGAAGGAGGTGGAGGAGCTGAAGCAGCAGGTTTTGTTTGTATTTGTTTGTTTATAAAGCTCAAAGAAATTATAAAGTATTAAAAAAAAAAATAAAAAGAATCGTTAAAAAGATTTTTAAAGTTGAAAAATATTTAAACGATTCATGGAGTTTGATTTGTTGTCTCGATTCTCCTTAAACATATGAGAGCAGCATTTTGTTGTTAAGATCTAAAAAGAGAAAGAAAATAAAATATATTATTAAAAAACTCCTGAAGATATGCTACACTTTCTATAAATCACAAACAAATTAATTTTTTAAATAAATTTTTATTTAAAATGCAACAATAATTCTTTAATTTATAAATAAAAATCGAATAATTTTTATGCTACATAAAAAAATTAAGGTTTTTAACTCACTATCAGTAAAGTTTTAACAAATTCCACTAAAAAGTTCGTTAAAAATTTTACTATAAAAAACCCGAAAAAAAAAAAAACATTTCCCTATAAAAAACTTTCGCCAAAAAATGTTATACTCTTTTATTTCTCAATTATTATGGCCATTATTTTTCTTGATTTTTATTCCAACAAATAATGAACTTCATGCATTCGTTTATATAATTTATCTTTGGCCGAAAAGTTTCTGTAGAAAAACTTACACAAAAAGCAACGACTACAGCTAATCAAAAATACATTTAACGTTTTTCTATTTGTTCCGTTTTGCAAGCTCAACTTTACCATTATTGTTTTTCTGTTTGTTTTTTTGGGGGGGATTTTAAAAAGTGCGCAAAACAAAAACAAGAAATTGAAAATTTGTTACAAATTAAAAGTTTATGGTAAAAAAGCAGAAAGCGATAGAAAACAATGAAAAACAAACAACTAAGGGAAAAATATTGAAAAGATTTAAGTAAAATGGATATTTATGTGAAATCAATAAAATATCAACAGTTTATTATCACAGAAAAAAGTTTCATATTTTTTAAGGGCTTTAAACGAGCAAAAAATAATTTAATTTAAGCTGTTTAAAGGCCAAAAAAGACAAAAGTAATTTATGGAATGCCCAAAGTATGCCATAGTTTTTTTTTTTGGCCCCCCCCTTAAAGTATGTAAAAATTTAAATAAAACTTAAACAACTTATTAGGAATGATTCGAAACTGATATAGAACAGAACTAGAACAGAACTAGAACAGAACTGGAACAGAACTAGAACAGAACTAGAACAGAACTAGAACAGAACTAGAACAGAACTAGACAGAACTAGAACAGAACTAGAACAGAACTAGAACAGAACTAGAACAGAACTAGAACAGAACTAGAACAGAACAGAACTAGAACAGAACTAGAACAGAACTAGAACAGAACTAGAACAGAACTAGAACTAGAACAGAACTAGAACAGAACTAGAACAGAACTAGAACAGAACTAGAACAGAACTAGAACAGAACTAGAACAGAACTAGAACAGAACTAGAACAGAACTAGAACAGAACTAGAACAGAACTAGAACAGAACTAGAACAGAACTAGAACAGAACTAGAACAGAACTAGAACAGAACTAGAACAGAACTAGAACAGAACTAGAACAGAACTAGAACATAACTAGAGCAGAACTAGAACAGAACTAGAATAGAACTAAACAGAACTAGAACAGAACTATAACAGAACTAGAACAAAACTAGAACAAAACTAAAACAGAACTAGAACAGAACTAGAACAGAACTAGAACGGAACTAGAACAGAACTAGAACAGAACTAGAACAGAACTAGAACAGAACTAGAACAGAACTAGAACAGAACTAGAACAGAACTAGAACAAACTATAAAAAACTAAAACAGAACTAGAACAGAACTAGAACAGAACTAGAACAGAACTAGAACAGAACTAGAACGGAACTAGAATAGAACTAGAACAGAACTAGAACAGAACTAGAACAGAACTAGAACAGAACTAGAACTAGAACAGAACTAGAACAGAACTAGAACAGAACTAGAACAGAACTAGAACAGAACTAGAACAGAACTAGAACAGAACTAGAACAGATCTAGAACAGAACTAGAACACTAGAACAGAACTAGAACCAAGAACTAGAACAGAACTAGAACAGAACTAGAACAGAACTGAACAGAACTAGAACAGAACTAGACAGAACTAGAACAGAACTAGAACAGAAACTAGAACAGAACTAGAACAAAACTATAACAAAACTAAAACAGAACTAGAACAGAACTTGAACAGAACTAGAACGGAACTAGAAACAGAACTAGAACAGAACTAGAACAGAACTAGAACAGAACTAGAACTAGAACAGAACTAGAACAGAACTAGAACAGAACTAGAACAGAACTAGAACAGAACTAGAACAGAACTAGAACAGAACTAGAACAAAACTAGAACAGAACTAGAAACAGAACTAGAACAGAACTAGAAACAGAACTAGAACAGAACTAGAACAGAACTAGAACAGAACTAGAACAAACTAGAACAAAACTAGAACAGAAACTAGAACAGAACTAGAACAGAACTAGAAAAGATAGAACAGAACTAGAACAGAACTAGAACAGAACTAGAACAGAACTAGAACAGAACTAGAACAGAACTAGAACAGAACTAGAACAGAACTAGAACAGACTAGAACAGAACTAGAACAGAACTAGAACAGAACTAGAACAGAACTAGAACAGAACTAGAACAGAACTAGAACAGAACTAGAAAGGAATTAGAACTGGATTAGAATTTAAATTTCTTTCATAAACAATTTTTTAAATTTTCTTATCTTTCTGTCTGATTTAGCACTTTTGAATAGTGTTAAATATTTTTGTTTTGCAATTCACTTGATAATAAAGATATTGTCTGCTGCTCGACTTCCAAAGACCACGATTGTATCATGTTCGTTTAAAATTGTTCACCATTTTCTCATAATTGTTAGAGACAACCAAAAAATGTCACAATTTATACAGTCAACAAAGATAAAACAAATAAAATAAAAATGTTTGGCTAAGAAAAAAACTACAACCACTTTTTTATTTGCGAAAAAAAGTTTTCAGACATGTTTCGTTAAAAGAAAATTTTGTTTCACAAAATGCATTTTACCAAATGCATTCAGCCATGCTAACCATACCATCAACCAACCAACAGACGGAAGGACGGACAAACAAAAAGAAACGAGAGACACGCAAACCATTTTACAAATGTATTTGTAAATTGAAAGCGACGGACAGACAGTCGGTTTAAACAACCAGACATCATTCGCTCGCTTGGTGACGCCACAATAGCTACGTTTTAAATGCAATACAATTGCTTTCTTTCCTTTTTTGCTTCTATATTATTTTTGCACATTTCTGTTTGTTTTTGAGGACATACAAAATCTGTAAAAATTGTTGGAAAAATCAACAAATACACAAAAATTAAAAACAAAAAAAATTTTTTATTTTTGAAAAATTACTTTAGAATTTCTATTCTAATAGCGAGTGTGTTGCTTTCCGTTTGTTTGCTTGATGTCTTTAGACACCGAGTCTAAAATTTCCACTTAAAACACAACAATCTGCACACATATTCTCTAAATAAAGTTATCATCATAGAAACAACAATGCTACAGGAATAAAGATGTTGCAACATGCACATCATCAAAACATGAAATATATTTAATGAACAAAATTTTATTTTTTTTTGCAATGAAATAATATTTATGTTGCAAAAAAAAAAGGTATTTAGCTCACAAATCTTTTAATGTAAAGAAACAAAGGTTAAACTACTTTTAAGTACATGTTAAAAGTTCAAATTTCGTAAAATAAAGGGGGCTTGGGCATTTTTTTTCCAGTTAAAAACAAATATTACAAGTTTAAGTTACTAAAAGTATACTTTTAGGGGCAGTATGCACAACAAAATGTAATGTTATTTTCTAGTTAAATATGGTTTAAGGGGTTGATGTCAAAGAACTAAAACTGTATTAAAACTGAACTAGAACTAGAACAAAACTTGAACTGAACTGAACGGAACTATAACTGAACTAGAACTGTACTAGAACTGAACTAGAACTGAACTAGAACTGAACTAGAACTGAACTAGAACTGAACTAGAACTGAACTAGAACTGAACTAAACTGAACTAAAACTGAACTAGAACTGAACTAGAACTGACTAGAACTGAACTAGAACTGAACTAGAACTGAAACTAGAACTGAACTAGAACTGAACTAGAACTGAACTAGAACTGAACTAGAACTGAACTAGAACTGAACTAGAACTGAACTAGAACTGAACTAGAACTGAACTAGAACTGAACTAGAACTAGAACTAGAACAGAACTAGAACAGACTAGAACAGAACTAGAAACAGAACTAGAACAGAACAGAACTAGAACAGAACTAGAACAGAACTAGAACAGAACTAGAACAGAACTAGAACAGAACTAGAACAGAACTAGAACTGAACTAGAACTGAACTAGAACTGAACTAGAACTGAACTAGAACTGAACTAGAACTGAACTAGAACTGAACTAGAACTGAACTACAACTGAACTAGAACTGAACTAGAACTGAACTAGAACTGAAATAGAACTGAACTAGAACTGAACTAGAACTTAACTAGAAATGAACTAGAACTGAGCTAGAACTGAGCTAGAACTGAACTAGAACTGAACTAGAACTAGAACTGAACTAGAACTTAACTAGAACTGAACTAGAACTGAACTAGAACTGAACTAGAACAGAACTAGAACTGAACTAGAACTGAACTAGAACTGAACTAGAACTGAACTAGAACTGAACTAGAACTGAACTAGAACTGAACTAGAACTGAACTAGAACTGAACTAGAACTGAACTAGAACTGAACTAGAACTGAACTAGAACTGAACTAGAACTGAACTAGAACTGAACTAGAACTGAACTAGAACTGAACTAGAACTGAACTAGAACTGAACTAGAACTGAACTAGAACTGAACTAGAACTGAACTAGAACTGAACTAGAACTGAGCTAAAACTGAACTAGAACTGAACTAGAACTGAACTAGAACTGAACTAGAACTGAGCTAGAACTGAACTAGAACTGAACTAGAACTGAACTAGAACTGAACTAGAACTGAACTAGAACTAAACTAGAACTGAACTAGAACTGAACTGAACTGAACTAGAACTAGAACTGAACTAGAACTGAACTAGAACTGAACTAGGACTGAACTAGAACTGAACTAGAACTGAACTAGAACTGAACTAGAACTGAACTAACTGAAC